AAGAAAATCAGAACAAGATTATAAAAATTAAATTAGTCAAGAAAATTTATTCATAAAAGACATGTAGATTAAATTAATCTAGTTAAACTTTGCGCAAATTTTATGTGAATGAGAAGCTTCACATCTCTGGTTAATCCTAATTTGATTTAATCTAAATCATATTAGAGATTATATGCCAGATTAGAAGGTTACTGTTGAATAAAAGCGGAGTCATTTAGTTTCAGTTGAGAAGTCGAGCTTTGGACGTTTCAGTGCATTGGGCCCACAAACCATAAATAACCACTGAAATACGGAAAGCTAATAAATATTAAATTAGCAGTGAGATAAAGTAGTGAGATCAACATCTACATGTAACTGTGATAAGAATGAGAAACACAACCGTAAGAAACTAGAACCAAACCTGATTATTATTATTATTATTATTATATACTGTATATACTGTAATAAATCTATCGTTCTGGAGTCTATAGTTAGACTTTGTGAAACGTTTTCTCAGAACAGATTTGAATGAACCACAGCTCTCAGTGACTAAATAACTTCTGCGTCACCAGTTTCCTCCTGACACGCCGCTCTGCTGCAGGATGATGACATCGTTTCGTAACCGCAGCAGCTATGTCAGACGATTTCAGAAACAACGGTGACACGTTTTCCCATGAAAATCAAGAACACGGGTTTTTCTGAAGAGGGGCCAGCAGGGGCCAGCAGGGGCCAGCGCCTGAGCAGAACTGGTCCTGGCCCTCACGGTGATCTGGACTGTCGTTGATAATGGGGCTCATATCGCCTCTTTTTCTATCCGGGGCCCTGTTGGGCGAGTCTAGGGCCACTAACACCTGCCATTAAGCATTAAGCATCCCTGGGTGTGCAGGTGGAGCGTTAGCATCGTGAGACCATCCTGATCTCGCGAGCTTTCAATGTTTCACTCGCTAATCAGTCTGGAGACTCTCCGTTAAAGGGATAGTTCGGTATTTTTGACATGAATCTGTATGGCATCCCCATCACCAGCGGCATGCAA